TGAAATAAGTTTTTCTTTCTCCTTATCTGTTTTGTCCACACGCACGCACATAAACACAAACACATATAGTGTGTGTGTTTGTATGCATGTGTGTGTATATATATATATATATATATATATATATATATATATATATATATATATATATATATATATATATATACATATATATATACATATATATATGTGTGTGTGTGTCTCTGTGTGTGTATGTGTGTGTATGTATGCATGTATGTATGTATATGAATGTGTGTGTTTGGATGTGTGTGCATATTTGTATACATGTATACATATAAATATATAGATGTGTATATATATGTATGCATATATGTGTGTGTGTGTATATATATATATATATATATATATATATATATATATATATATATATACATATATATATATATATATGTGTGTGTGTGTGTGTGTGTGTGTGTGTGTGTGTGTGTGTGTGTGTGTATGTATGTATGTATGTATATAAATGTGTGTGTTTGGATGTGTGTGCATATATGTATACATGTATACATATAAATATATAGATGTGTATATATATGTATGCATATATGTGTGTGTATATATATGTATACATATAAATATGTGGATGTATATATATGCATGCATATATGTGCGTGTATATATATGTATGCATATATGTGCGTGTATATATATGCATATACATACATGTGTGTGTGTGTGTGTGTGTGTGTGTGTGTGTGTGTGTGTGTGTGTGTGTGTGTGTGTGTGTGTGTGTGTGTGTACATATACACAACTCAAATGAACAGCCACGGATAGAAGCGAACGCGGTAACTACAGACGTATCTAACATCACAACGGAAGAAATAAAAAGAACGCTTAAAGGCATGAAGAGAGGGAAAACACCAGGTGAAGACGGAATTAGTATAATCCTTATAATAGATGCAGGAGAAATTGCAACAATGAAACTAGCCTTCTCAACGAAAAACTCCGAAACCCGGAAATAATGCAACAATTATTTTGATACATAAAAAGGGGATAGATAGGACCAAAAAAAAATCTACCGACCTATAGGCCTCCTTTCAGTTACAAACTGTTCACAAAAGTCATCACAACTCGAATCTCTGACAGTATGGATTTTAACCAACCTAGAGAACAAGCAGGCTTTCACGGTGGATTCACAACAACAGACCACATCCACACGCTCACCCAAATAAGAGAAAAATAAACGAATATAGGAAACCCCTGTGATTGCCATTCATCGACCAAGACATTTGACTCTGTACAAAACCAGCAGTACTAGAAGATATTCGAAGACAGGGAATAGAGGAGGTATATTGTAAAATATTAAAATATATATACGAAGATGGGACAGCAACCATCAAGTTCCACACGGAAACCGATAAAATACTAATTAAAAAAGGTGTTAGACAGGGCGATACCAACTGTTTACAGCTAGACTTGAGGATATATTCAAGAAACTAGAATGGAACGGAAAGCG